GGAGGGAGGGAGGGAGAAATGAAGGGATGGAGAGAAAGGGGGGCCGGTTGCTGCAACAAGTACCAAGTGTCGACATTAATCGTCTTCCAGGGAAAAGGTAAGAAAACAAACAGGGTGGCACGACAAAGAGGGAGAGAGGGAGAGACACGCAGGTCGTAAGGGAGGACAAGGTGTGCGGACGGAGCCCTCCCATGGATCACCCTGTGCTTTGCCCGCAGGCATCCTCCCTCCCCTTTCTGCCCCTTCCCCTCCTTTTCTCCCTATTTCTTCCCACTCACACAGACCACGCCTGCCGAGGGAGAATGGAGGGGCCGAGGGTCAGCAGGCACAGTATCAAGCCCCCCGGCGGCTCCTCGTCTTCCTCCTCCATCCTCCCACACCTATTCCCTTTTCACGCACTAATTACACACCTGGAACGCCTGCTTCGACCCCCGCCCCTGTCTTCGTCCCTGTGCCGGGAGTCGCGGTCCCTAGCCTCTTCGGTGCGTACTTTGGAGGATTTGGAGGCCACCTATTTTCGAGAGTTGAAAAGCATATTGGCAGGCATATGTGAGGAAAGAAAGGGCAGTGGGTGCGACGTATGTGGAAATCAAAATGAGATCCATGAGTTTGATCAAATCTTGACAGTTGGTAGGAATGCGTCTGGTTCCGTCGTAGACAGAGCAGGAATAGAAAGACATAGAAGCGGCCAGAAAAGAAACGGTAAGGACGATGACAAAAGATACGACGCCTGCACAAATCGCGCCACCAACACCCGGCATTCTTCCTCCTCTGCCTTCAGCACCGTTCATGTCACGGTTTTGGATTTCTCGGGGTCTTCACGGCCGATATCGAAAAGGATAGCAGACGGGCATAGAACATCCTCCCGCCTCCCTCATCATCCCACTGGCTCTCCTTGAACGCACCTTCTCATCGACCTGCGCCTCCAAATAGGCCTCGACGCCATCCACGTCCCCCATTGCTGTCTCCACAAGGCTGTGATTTGCGTGACAATGTGAGACGATGGTCATCGCAGGGTTTTGTGCGTTTCCAACTTGGTTGGCCCGCGCGCGGAGATCCGATCTGTTCACAGCCTCCTTGCCTCCCAGCCAGGTCCCAAAAAGAAAACAAGAAGCCACACCATGAATTTGAAATGTAAGAGGCGTAAATTCCAGAACTTTGTGTAGAAATATGGAGATGAACTATTTGTCTCTTTGAAAGGGAAAGAACGCTGCTTGCAAGACTTAAGAGAATATACTTTTCTCGCAGCCAACAGACCTTTACATAAGGAGGCACTGGAATGCATTTCGACCGGCGCTATTGCTCCAGCATTCTTGCATATGTTGTCTCGAGGAAAATGTACCACTAGAAATAATTTGTAGGGGTCCGACATGGTGTTTTCCTTCGAGAATGTGGCCTTGACAAATAAACAGTACAGAAATTCCAATGCCGGACAGTCGGACTGTCTTGCCGAAACTTGCGCATTGTACCTTCCTTTGGCATGAAGCCATTCAACCTTATGATTGTTGTCGCTCGGACGATATATTGCGCTGTGACAGACTATTGACCGACCTCACATGTACGTCGTTCAAGA